AATCCGGCCTTATCAAGAAAGAGAAGCCCGTCCACCATCACAAACTCATCTTCTGTGGCCTTGTCTTTTGCCTGAAGTTTGCGTATGATGTCCATTGTGACAGTGTCTTCCTGATAGGCTCCTACGAGCGATTGAGTTAGTTCCTCAAATACACCAAATTCAGAAACTAGCGCCCCTAGGTAGTCTGCTCTACGTGACAGCGCATCTGCAACCTTGTTGTACTCTCCCTTCAGATACTCTAGCTTGAAATCATACCGATCTATGACCTCAATCCATCGCTTGAGTGCATCAGAAAGAGCCGGTTGAGTCTTGATCCATTTAAGGGTCTGATGGTCAGTTCTCAAATAGAAGAACCGTCCTAACAAAAAGTGCCTCCAATGGACAAGTGACTTGTAGAGAGCATAGAGTTCCCTTTCGTAGGTGGACTTCGCCAATTTCTTTGATGGCATTTTCTTGCTCATGTACTCAATTGGTCTCAACTTCTTCCCATCCTGCTGAGCCAGCACTGCGCCAATGTTGTATTGGCTTGCGTTATTGGTTACAATGAAAGGCTTCTGAGGATCGGGCACCACAAGGACCTCATGATTCATGAGTGCATGCTTCAATCGTTTGAAGGCAGCCTCGCACTCATCACTCCAGTCCCACGGAGTGTCAAGTCGAGTTAGATCAGTCAAAGGAGAGGCGACTGTGGAATAGTTCTTTACGAAGTTTCGATAGTAGCCGCACATTCCTAAGAATGATCTGACCTTAGTAACAGTCTGAGGTCGTGGCCAGTCCCTGATACTAGCCACCTTCGCATCTTCCGGCCTAATACCTTCTGTGGATACTTCATGACCCAAGTATAAGATCTTAGTGCGTCCAAACTCACATTTCTCTAGGTTGACCTTATACTTGTGTTGTCGCAGGAGTGAAAGTACAGTCTCAACGTGTTGTGCATGCTCCTCGACAGACTTACTAAAGATAAGAATATCGTCAAGATAGACAACGAAAAACTTATCTAAGTGGTCATGGAAGATCCTATTCATGGCATGCTGGAATGTACCCGGCGCATTGCAAAGGCCAAAGGGCATCACTACAAACTCATACAGACCATATCTGGTCTGAAAAGTGGTCTTGTGTTGATCCTCAGGTCTTATTGCGATCTGATGGTAGCCGGACTTTAAGTCTATCTTGCTATAGTATTTACATCCCTGCACCCTATCCAATAGGTCGTCTATGCGAGGTAGAGGCTCCGCATTTTTCACTGTGATGGCATTGAGGCCTCTATAATCAATGCACATCCTCAATGTACCCCCCTTCTTCGGTACGAATAGCACTGGAGATCCGAAGGGGGAAGTACTCGGTCGGATCCATCCCTTTTCTGTTAGCTCTTTCAGTTGTCGCCGGAGTTCATCCAACTCGGCCGGAGCCATCCTATAGATCCTTCCCTTTGGGGTTTTACTCCCTGGAATGATTCCTATGGCATGGACAACCTCCCTCTCTACGACTCCTGTAGGCTCCTCAAACATATCAGGGAACTTAGCAATAACGTGTTCTATCTCTGGGGGTGTTTTAACAACCTCCCCTTTTTCAGAGACATACACTAGGTACATACCCTCCTCTTGGTTTTGTTCATAGTAGTTATAGAATGCTGATGCACACAAGCAGCCATAGGTATCGATTATACTACAGGCTTTAAACTTAGTCAATCTCATTATTCTTCCATCAGGCAACTTATGCTTAAGCACCTTCTTGTCCTAGTCAAACTGGGGCTTGGCAACCTCAAGGTAGTACATTCCTAACAACATGTCAAATGGTAAGTCGTCGCTAACCAAGCACGAGATCTTATGATCAAGTTCCCCTCCTCCATAGGAGAAGGTACAAACTACATCCTTGACATAGTCTGTGACTACCATGCACTCCTTATTGGCCAAAGTAGATGCTACTGGTCTACTAAGGTGTTGTACCCGGTCCTGTAGGTGCAGCCTTTCCAAGCAGTCGTGACTTATGTAATTCCGAGTGGAGCCGATGTCTATGAAGGCACCACATCTAGATAAGGTCTCAAACGAATGATACTCGAGGCGAGCCTCGCTGGCCAACAAATTTCTGAGATTCTCTGGGAGACATCTCACAAACATGGTCAATAAGACCTGGTCATCGTAACGTATGCCGGGAACGACGATGAGGCTCTCTACGGTAGACGTTAGCTCTCTGACTGACTTGAACTTTCGCTGGTCTAGTCTGAGCATCGCATCAGTGGCAATCTGTGCCTGCTGTGGATTATGCCAGCTAGCTTCTACCATGTCTAAGAACTCTTCTAACGTGGGTCTTAGCCCAGTCCGCCATGCGTCATCCGTACCCGACCTTTGCTACTAATACATCCAGCCATTTGGTTGCCTTACCCTCAAGGTAAGATGCAGCAGTAATCACCTCCTCCTCCTGCATAGTCCTCTTTGCCCTTACCCACACTAGAACCGTTCTCAACCATGTGTTGAGTTCCTCGTCCTTCTTCTCTCCGGAGAAGGCAAGGGGCGGTTTCATAGGGGTCTCTGGGTACCATTGACCTTGCTGTTGTCCCTGTTGAGGAACAGGTTGTTGCAGTGATGGTGTAGCTACCACCGCTGACCCCGAAGAAGAAGAAGCAACACTTTGTGCGGCTGCTGCAGATGTACCACTTGGTTGTGTGCCAACTTGTACCTGAAAGGGGCCTCACATCATCGTTAACGGCAACGGCGAATGTGCTGCTGGCCTAAATCCTGGCCTTTGCAAAAGGTCCAAGATCTGGTCCAAAGAGTTCTGCATGAAGTCCAGTCTGCTGTCCACATGCGCATGCAGCGACAGTACACTGTTCTTCAATATTTTTATTTGGTCAGACATGCTGACTCATCTAAACCCTCTAATGCAGCTTTGTCTGCCTCTAACGTATCAAGCCTGGCTGTTCTATTTTTGATCTCTTTTTCTCTCTCGGTAGCTTGCTTCAGTTCCTTCTCTAACCGAGCGCGGATCCTTTCGACTTGCTGGAGCTCTAGGAGCTTCCTACCGCGTGGGGTCAACGGGCTTAACTACGAGCCCACCATTTGACTTGAAGATTGACTAGAACCTACTGACCCGGAAGTACTCGTGGGCCCAGATGGCATTCCCAACTGAGTCTTCGACGAGGACGCAGCAGAGGCTGCGCCGTTAGCCATTGATGCTGGTCTGGCTGTTGCTGCCTGTTCTCTAGCGGCTGCGTTTGCTGCCTCCCTGGCTGCTGCGAGAGCACGGGCTCTACGTTCGGCATGAAGCCGTCTTTCGTCTCCCGGTTGTAAGGTCTGAAACACGTGCGGGACCCTAAGTGATCTCGAACGTGTCAGTCTCGCATCGTCAACTCCACCCTCATCGGTGTCTGACCCGCTCATCAGTTAGGCAAACACTTTCTGCACTACAACCCCCTGCTGGAGTCCTACCACAGCATGTGTCTGACCGGCACCTAATTTTCTAAAAATAAACGTGTCCGGCAGGTCCCCTACTTGACAGCCTACAACATTCACAAAAGACTGTCAACATAATTTAGTATTATCATGATTAGTTCACTTACAAAAGTTTGCATAGAACTGGCTATGGTAGTATACAACAATCCTAAACTAAACTGTTTGTGAGGTGTTAGCAGTCTGTCAACCAAATAATTAATAATAAAACTGAAATATGTTGCAGATGTATGAACAGTGGGTATGGTTGTGTTTTTAGTTGAGCACCAATTAGAACCTAACCTCCCCTCAATCCAACATATCGATGAGCGTCTTTGAGCAGCAGTGTCTTCGTGTGTAATGTCGGCCCACCCCTGTGCCCCAAGTCATTGCTGAAGAAGCCAGCCCATCCACTCTTATTTACCCTCGTACGGAATGAGCCTTACTACCCGGTTTGATCTGGCTGATCAGGAGGGATTTAAGGAGAGCCCCCATCTCCTAAGGAATTATTTAACGTCGCAGACAGGACGACGATCACAGCCAGTATCAACACCGAGTCCCCAGCCAGAAGTATTTRTAGACGGTCTGGTAAGCGTCTCTTATGGGCYGRCACCCCCGRCACGACTTCTATAGCGCAGCAAAGTGCCAAAATGGACAAGCARCCATCRCATGCGTGACCTACTCCCATTGGGTTGGCATGGTGATCGTGACCCAAGTGATTCGACCAGGGCCCTTCAGAGGCACCGCCCTTTCTCCTTCCGGATGCTTCCGGGAAGATTGTCGTCTCTCAAGGTAGCACGCACACGACACCTCACCAAAAGAGAGGACTCTCAAGTTGGACTCACTTCCTCGCGGTAAGAAGAGATTGAGAGAGTAGATAAGGTWAGGRAACAAYGTACCTGGAGATAGCTKCCCCCAACCACAGATTTCTCACCGATTGAGCTGAGTGTGCATTTGATGACCGGTCGTAGCCTCGRTACCACCCACAACACAATGCAGTGCCACCTCAGCTTAATGCCAYATCAGCATGCTCTCATCACCAATCATACATTCSRMAGTAACCACGGCAACCCATGCYGTATAGCCTTTCGGCGCACASCTCTCTWCCCAGGTCGTGCRCCTAATATGGCCTGAYGTCACAAGAACCAAYTGCGAAGAAGCATCGTCAACGCACCAAGTCTGTATAACGCCAGYGCACCAAGGTAAGYGGSGAATCGAACCAGCTCTGATACCAAAATGCAAGGAACATGAATGTGGACGAAGCACAGAAATCCAAATTGCAAAATCACACTGAAGTCCAAGTAGTCAAAGCAAGAGCAGATAGCACAATGGAACCGAGTAACCATCCATTTGAGAACGATGCAGAAGAATCGTGAGTCAATGTCCAAGCCCAATCGAGCAACACCAACAGCATAACCCAATGTAGCTCTCTCTCTTGAATGGCGCCAGGCGCCCTACCTACTCTACAGCCTGTCACTACRACTAYAGCATGGAAGCAACCAGACAACTTGACGACCAGCGAGTGATGACGTCAACACCAATGCCGACCTCCTCTCCACCAGGTACGTCTCTCTCTCTTCACCCTCACTCTCCCTTGTTATCCCACACAGCGCCCTTCACCTCCGAAGAACCACCTTCGCCCTTCACCTCCTCTGCGCCCACAGGCAGCCCGACTATGGCCGCCAGCGCCCTGCGCTTAGGCTGCGCTCTACCGCTTAGCGCCAGCCTGCCCTCACTCAGCCTAGCACAGCGCAGCACACTCGCAATGCAGCAGCGTGCCGGCCTTGCTCGCAATGGCCAAGATCCCTGCCCACTCACCCCCTCTGCCTATATGCCCGTGTTGCGTGTGGGCGGCCTCCCTTGAGCCTGCGCCTGGGCCCCAGTACCTGTATCCAGGCCCAATGCGGTTGGGGCCCACGAAGCACAGTTGTGCCTCTCYCATCCAGGCCTGCGTCCARATTCAGATAGYGGACCGGTTTCCCATTGGCATTTTCGGCCTCTATTTCCAGCATGCAATGTCGGCCTCACGTTTATGTGCCCAGGGCCTAACCAACTCTRAAAGGCCCTGGTCCTTCTGCATTTGCAGAGATCCGGTACTCGGTGCACTCYAACCAAYTGGCGTGCGGCAACTGTATGGACCCCACTTCGTGAAATGTTTGAACAGAGGGCTCTCGTTGATTTGCTGGCCCGCCTTCACTTAGGGCGGGCACGATGTTTGCTGGGGGCGTTGGCCCAGAACATGTACACCACGGCAAGGCCCCTTTGAGGGCTCAATCCTCACATAACATTCTTCATGTCCTTCATAATCATCCTTGTACGCTGTAGACCACCAGACATAACTGCCAGTACACTCGATCGTCCGACAGACCCACCGTTGTCCCAAAACCACAACTAATCACAGACCACCCACGACCACACAGACGACAAGGAAGACGTCGGTTGTCGTGTCTCCCCAGAGCTCAAGGGGCAAGCACAGCGAAAACACTGTCAAAAAGCCAGGGAGAGAGAAGAAATGCGAAATGTAATCTGATACAACCTGGTTATTTATCCTCCGCCAACACTGTGTACATGCGCAAATCCTCGACGCGTTTCGACCCGGGCGCATACCAGGTCTCTTCAGGAGGTAACAACCCTCCATCCTCAGCGAGGGTATGACATCAACAACGTTGCTACAGCCAACAGTTCCTAACAGCTTTACGCCTGTCACGATCATCTCCTACTTTGCCCCTAATTCCACAGCTTCCCCCCATCACTCCCATGCTTTCCTCGTGCGCAGCGTCACCCAGAGGATCTTCTCCACTTGGATACGTGCTCTTGGAAAAGCCAGGCTTCCTCTTTTTGTGTCTAGTAAGATGGTCTTTATCTCTCAACTTAAGTCGGAGCTGCCCCATCCGAGACTATTGCAGCTGAGTTTTGGCTCCCGCAGATTGAAAGGTGCGCCCAAAAGAGTGGGATGATACACCTGGCTGACTCATGTATCCGCCCATGATCCCACTTAGATACAGATGTATGTGATCTATATGTTAAGGGCCACTCGCCCATCTATCCTGTCCGTAGTAGT